TGTGAAGTGTAAAGGCTGAAAAATAGAAATCTAAGTTGTTTTGGACAGATGACATGGTTTGGAATTTGGAACTTGTATTCTGGAAAATGGAACTTCTGAGAAAAGCTTCAGTAGTTTTGAAAATAGTCTGTTTTGGATGAGAATGAGAAGTAAAACCTCGATATTTTCAACAGAAAAAAAATGATTATTTCCAAAACTCTTTTGCAGGAGAATTGCAATAAAAGTGTTTTAATATGTCAGCTGCCCACTTGGAAGGCTGACAAAGGTTGGGCCTTTTTGCATACCTTTATATGCACTATGCAACCTGTCTCTAGTGTGGTAGCAGAGAGTCTCTTGCCTCCACAATTCCTGGGGAAAGTTGCAGAGCTGAAGTCAATAAAGATGTTCCAAGAAGGTGGACAGGCAGCTGCTTTGTTATTTTTCCTAACAGCAAATTGAAAACCATTTTTTCAGAAATTTTTTGCTTTGCAATGAAGGTATTTTTCAGTGGAAAATAATTCTGATGGAAAATCAACAATGGATCCAGTTTATGTCGATTTCAGTTGTTTCTATGTTGAATCTCATACTTGAGACAAAAATTTGTATTTCTCTGTTGTGTTCTGTCTCTGTACTGCATATGCTCAGAAGTGAATTAGGCTTTCAGATTGGCTAATTTGCATATATTAAAGTTTTCTAATCAGTCTCAACTCTGATGAACAACAGCACTTTCTAGCAGAAGTTTACTTGCTGTCTGAGTTATTACAAAGCTCCCAGTGTGGAGACGTGTATGTTACTGTTATGCATTTTCGGGCCAAGATTTGAATTAATATTGGTAATGATATGTGGGTGTAAATTACCTTTATAAATATAAAGCCTAATTGGGACCAAGGGGACAGGTGATTTAAAAATTACTTTTCATTGGCGGAAAAACAGTTGGTTGGTTGGGTTGTGTTTTGGGGTTTTTTTTAAATGAAAAATGATAGATTTAAAAAGATAATAAAGGAGTTTAAAAATGATACAGTGGAGCACCGAAAAAACTGCAGCAATAATCTTCCTTGGCCAGCCTGGGTATGCCTTATTTTTCCTCTAAGTTTAGCATTGTCAAAACCAAAAAAGACCCAGAAAAATAGAAATCAATAGTAAACTCCGGGGAGACTATCATTTTGTGGATAGGCTTAAATTGGAGAAAACCTTTCCCTTTCTTCAAGTTACCTTAAATCAGGGATTTATATGATTTTGTAACAGTACAGTTATGAAAATCCTGTGTGCCAATTAGATTGATGTTTTTCAGGGATGTTATAATTTTTTTAGATCAGTCAGCTACTAATTGCTTTGTGTAAGAAGATGCTTTTTTCATGTGTGGAAGTTTAGGCATGTTCTGAAGTAGCTGATGTGTAGAGCAGTGGTCCATGCTTGACTGCCACACTTTTAAAGGGAAGACTAAGTGGAAAAGCTATCCAATTTAACTAACTGCAGTAACTTAGATCTGACTCTTGGTGGTGTAGTTGCAGACTCTAGTCTGTGTAAACTCAAAAAAAGTGTTTTCTATGCAGCTTATTGACCAGGACATGTAGGCTGTCTGCACTATATGCGTTTGAAAGTTCTGCTTCAGGCTAGCTCTAACTTGGTCCCATGGACTAAACACCCATTATTATTTGGAACACTTTTAAGTTTGTGCCTCTGGTTCAGCGTTATACCAAGGGAGTCTCATTGGTGTGATGCAAGGCTACTCCGTGTTGCAAACTAAAACACGGTAAATTGCAAACCAAAATGATCAGTAAATAGAGATAATCAGGAGATTTACTTCAAGGGTACACTCCTGATCTGAATTAAAACACAAATGTAGTTTCACACTTTCGTACTGAGCTCCTCTCAACTCTGTGTGAATGTTGTGAATAGGACAGTATTTTTCCTGTAAAAGGCACTTTCTTTAGTACCCTAAGAAAATATTCATTTCCTCTCAGTGCTGTGATGATATATGTGTTGTTGACTTCATTCACCAGGACATTATCTGTATGTGAAAGTAATTACTGTGAGCATAACATCTGGAAAGATGACAGGCCCAGAAATGTATTGAAAATTAGGGGAGGGCTCTTTGTTGTAGGGCTGCCACTTTATTTTCAGAAACATTGTAATCAGGCTCTTCTGTAACAATACCTCTCTGAAATAATTGGAATGGTTGGCTTCCAAATATCTGGAGAAACAGAAAAATGGATGTATAAAGTAGGAAAAACAACTTCATGCAAAAAAACCCCTCATCTTTCTGTTTACAGCAAGGTGAAGTGAACAGAATATAGACCAGTGCTGTTTTCTGTAATAAAGCAATATTTTTTCAATATTGTTGTGGGGTGTGCAATAAACAAAATACACCTTTCCTCAACTATGTGGGCTGCCAAAGGAGCCTTCAGACACAGGGCTCACAGGAGTGACTGATACTGCTGTTAAAACAGTTGAGCTAAGGTCTTGTAATGGGACTTATAATGTCCTTGTAACGTTTGTCTGGTTTTGCAGAACAGCTATGTGTTGAATAATAGCCTTAATGAGGATGATAATTTTCTTCCTTGCAGATGTACTAGGGAGCTAAGCAACAATCATAAAACAGTTTGTCATGAACTCAAAGCATACCCCAATTTAACAAATTTATCACTAAATCATTTTAATTATTATTTTAGAGTGGGTGGACAAAAACAAAACAACAGAGCAGCACAAGAAGTAATTTCAAAAGAACTAAAAAAAAAGAAAAAATTCAAGCTGTAGCTTGTTTGTGCATTCATCTGAGCCAGGTGAAATGAATGAAGTCATCCGTTTCCTGAGGAAATAAAGTCTCGCTTTATTGAGATTGCTGCTATACTTACTAAATTCTTTCAAAACTACCAAGTTACAGCTTAAGAATAGACTTCTTTAGCACTGGATGCCACACAAGTTCCATGAACCAGCATAGTAGGAGCTGAAGGAAATGGCCTGAAGCAGAACCAAGGCCAGATATACTTAAGGCTTTATATAAAAGTTTATAAAGGCTGGCAAACCCTGATGCAAAAGAGAATCCAGTGTAAAGTGTATCAAGTAGGCTGCTTTGGCCATGGTGGTTCAGAACTGTTCCAGGCTATCTGCAAATGGCCAGTCAGCCTTTCTCTTAACCCAGCAAACCCCAAAATTACATGCAGTTGTTGCTCCCTGAAGCCTCAAGCCTGGTTGCCATGTAATGAATGCAAATCTCACTTCCACAAACGATCTAGCTGTAAAAAACAGTTCTGACTCATGACATTGTACGTATAAAGCATCACCACTATTAGAGACAGGAATTTTAATCTGACACACATCTATTCAAACTGAGCAAAGATAAGAGAAAGGCAAGTCCTGGTCCACTATAATGTTTTGGTTTTCCTGGAACTGGGCAACCGTAACAATACCAGTGGTAAGGCACTGTGAATTCTCACAGTTAAGCATTTGTTTACGTAATTCAGGGCACTAGACAGGATCCCTGATGAGATAAATATTCCCCAGCAGAGGCTGAGCTCATCTATTTATTCTCTATTTGTTCTGCAGACAATTTTGTTTCTTTTATTCACGTTATTGAAAAGAGAAACGAGACTGAATCTCCTGTATGTAGCAGCACTGAAGTCATATTACACCCACAACAGATCAGAATCTGATCCACAATTTTTTCCTGTCAAAGAGTTTCCCACTCACCCTGCCTTTGGAATTGTGCACTGTGGAGCTTACTGGCGTAGGCCATGATGACTTGTTTGACTGTGAACCAAGCTTAGCAACTTGGGTAGACAAAGAGTGCAAATTATTTAACAGGAGTCTTTTAATGATCCAAACTGTAACAAATGAAACAGGAGGAGGTATAAATTACCATAGGATTTTTATAGCCTAATTAACAGAATTAAAGTGAGATGTGAGCTAAGAAGTGTCATTTTCTGGACAGAACAGATAAAAGATAACTGTTTTAAAAGTCTGTATATCAGAATATGTAACCAGAGGGAAAAAGGACTTTCCTGTAAAATCTGTAATAGATCCCCAGTGACATGTAAAATTCTAGAATTAGAATTGACCTTAAGAGACTTCAGTAGTTTCATGTATTAGAAATGCCACAGCCACAAGCTAAATGGGAATAAAGAGCTAAGCTTAGTCTAAGATTTCCTGGTGGTTGATGGCATCTCAGAATTCACAGGGAAATCTCAAGTTAAGGAGCTGATTCATAACTTAAGCATAGTACTAGAATACATACTGAAGTAAATGAACAAAGACTTGCATCTGGACTCACCAAGTTAAATTAGACTAGTACGTAGCCTCATAAATTACAAAAATATTATTATTTTTTAAATGTTTAATATTTAATTTCATTGCATCTGATGCACATTGGTCAGAGGATAGATTTCAATCTAATTAAATTCACAGACAAAAACTCCCATTAAACAAATCCTAAATCCCAATGTCTTCACTGAAAGAAAATTCCTGGTGAAATTGATAGGAGCTTTCACTAATTATTACCTGCCCTTTATAATTTAGCTAAATAACTTTACTGAAAGATGTATCTGATTGTTTTCTTCAATGCGATCAACCATTTTATTAAAAATGGC